ATGCTCAATGTACGACTGAACTGCAATGTACCATGCTGTTGCCTCTTCCATCCTCAATCTCCTGCAACGCAAACCAAAAGCAAAAACATGAAGTTTGGTAGGGTAAAGCCATTGAAAAGACAGGGGTGAAGCATGCCCCCGAATCCAGTGCCATGATTCCAGCAAATGCGAGCCACCCCCCAGAGAGGAGAGCCGAGCCAAGAATTGCACGAAAAACAGGCGCCAAAAGGACGCCCCGGCGAGAGCCAGGTTCTTCCAGTCGCCACTTTTTGTCAACTTGCCAAGATCTACTCAAGTGATGACGATATTCGGGTTTCACCTGCTGGACTGCAGTAATGGCATACACCAAAATATACAGGAGTGAAGCTTGTTCGAACGATGCAAGACCATAGGCTTTTAAGGCCAAGTTTGTGATCTCAACACACAGAACAACCAGCTCAAGAGTCAAACCTGTATAGGTCTCACACCACAAACCAAAGGTTTTCAAGCATTTGGCCAGCCTGTCAGAGGTCGCCCGTGCAAACCCGCCTATCAAGTTGAGATCGCCATGAGGGGCCCGATTGTCACTACAAATCGGGCCAGGGTTCTGCTCAACATCTCCAGCGAGGAGCAACAACAAACGATACCACCTACCAAGCGGCCGGACCCAAGTTGCTGAAGCGATCATCGTGTCGAAGCCACTTGTTCGACCAACACGCAACTGCTCCAACCACAAGGGTTCTGGACGTGAAGGGCCTGGGACATCACTGTCACGTGACGGCCCGTCAGCTCTGTTCCACTGAGACCTGCAGTGTAAAGTCCCAGGGTAAAGACAGCCCCCCAGGATGTAGCCTAAACTTCCTCTAAGGATTCGGCTCAGTGCCGGACTGCTACTGCGACCTTTGGCTGCAGCCCCCATAGTGACCCTTGAGTCCAGGAGACCAAGCACCCGCGTTTGTGGGTGACATTTTGAAACATGCTTCAACCACGACTTGTAGACACGGCACTCCAAGCAGTTGATGCGACCGGATTTTTTGAACCGGTAACGGAAGAGCTCACTAAATGAAACACTTTCGCAAACATCTTCAATCCACTCAGGGTCGTCGTGCCAGGGGCGTAGCCCGTCTGGATCTGAAACCGAAGCAGCTTTGCGATCTTCTTCCGGCAGAGTAACCTTCGAACCTCGAGGCCCTGAGCTATGCGCTTGTAGGCTGCCCGCGCTCATTGCCTCGCACAGAGGAATCGGGTAGCTTGCTGAAAATGCACTAACAGCTTCCCCAGGTCTAGGAGTCTTACCATATACGGCTTTTGCCGATGGGCGGCATCTAGCTTCAAACAACTCAATGCTCCCTGCTGTAAAGGTGCCTTGAACTGTGAAATGGCAGCCTTTGTATGGGCATTTGCAAACTCCACCTAGGGCTGCATACCAAGGCTTGTTATGCAACCACTTGCTAGCTTTCTGAAAACCGGAACCGTAGCTGCAAAAACAAAATTTGGTAAGGGTGCAACCAGCTGCGATAAGTCTCTAAAAAATCTGAAGTTCAAA